TATGTAATGCATATAGAGTATGCTTTCTTGAGGAAACAAAATACATTGATTTACATTGCAGAGGTGGGCTGGCCTGGCTGTTACAAAAATTCTAATTTGAAGATATATCCTTATCTAGAAGGAAGAGGCAGGATGGTGCACTGCACAGAGAGCCATCCTCTAAGCAGGGAAAACCTGGATTCACATACAAGCTGTGTAACCATGAACACATCACTTAACCTCTCAATGCTCTATGCACTTCTCCAAGACTCTAAATTGCATAAAAGGTGCTGACCTGCATTGATGAAGGGGCATTTTAAATGGTGAGTTTTCTAAACTGATGAAAGCACAGGTCCAGTTCCACTCTTCTTCTCTTCCTATAAACAGTGATAAGGAACTATGGGACCAGACAGCATGGTGCACATTGCCACAGTCAAAGTTGTGTTGGCTGTAGCATACTCCCCAATGGGTTGTCCATTGGCTCATGTCCCCATGAGGAGACAGACCCTTACTATGACCATGCCAGAGCATCAGAGGAGGACAACGGACACCAGCAACTGCCATCAAAGGACCAAAACTTTGAGTCTATAAGTTGAGCCAGACAGTTAATTCCCTGATACTCCCTACAGTTTGCTTCCTGATCTCTTCTGGATTTCCCAGCCTGAATCTATGATCTGGTTCTCTTTCTTACTCACATCAGCCCTTTAGATTTTTATCATTCCCTGATACCATCCTAACCTAGTTTTTCTTCCCCTTGCTTAGACATCATCTCTTCAGCCTAATGTTGAGATTGCTTTTTCCTCAGCTGGAGCTTGCTTAATTACCTGTATAAATCAGTCTTGTCTCGAGTGGAATATCACACTATGCCAGGAGACTGTGATCTTCCATAAATCCTACCAAACTGGAAAATGTTTGGGTATGTACTCTGAGTGTTGGTAAATATTTAACTGCTGGCTCTCTGGGAGGAAAATGCACCTAGGACACATTTTTAAGTTTAATCTGAATTATCAACATTTTCTCCATTACTTTATTAAGTCTAGACAATCAACAAAGCAATAAACCAAGCCCTGGTTTTTTAGTGTTTTACCAATTTCCAAGGTATAAATGGTCACACTGAAAATTTAACAATTGGGCTTATGGGTTCTAGCTGACTCTAGCACACCCCTGTCTGTAACTCACTGTTAGTAAACATCCATGGACTAGATAAAAAGAGTGGCAAGGTTAGTGGAAAAAGATAATGAGCTTGCTTTAGGGCATGCTGGGCATGAGGTGGTGGTGGTGGTGGTGGAATGTCAGATCCTATGATTTAGAGATTAAAGGGATTTCAAAGATAATCTAGTCCAATGTCTACATTGTGGAGTTGGTGGGTATCTTAGAAATCAAGAACATTAAGGCTTTATGGGATTTAAGGAGTCATCTAGTCGTTTTCTTGTTTTAAGTACAGTGGAAAGAACACTGGATTTGGAGTCAAGGAACCTGAGATCAAATCCTGCCCCTGACCTGTGTGACTTTCTGTTGCCCAAGTCACTTTACAAGTCTAGACCTCGGGTTCTCATCTATAAAGCCAAAAGGTTGGAATAAATGGCTTCTAAAGTCTCTTCAAACTAGAAGTTTGTGATCCTATAACAGAACACAATGCTTCTCAAACTTTTTGGTCCCAGTTCCCCTTCACACTCTGAAAAATGACTGAGGAACCCAAAGAGCTTTTTTTTTTCATATGGGTTACATCTATTGATATTTACTGAATTAGACATTAGAAGTGATAAATGTTTAAAATATGTGTTAATTCATTTAAAACAACAAAAACAAACAAACCCATTATAGGTCAACATAAATAATATATTTTATGTATATATAAATTAGATGAATGGCATTGTTTCTCATATTTTTGCAAACCTCTTTATTGTCTGGCTTAATAGAAGATATCTGGATTCTTTTATCTGTTTCTGCATTTAATCTGTTGTAATATGTTGTTTTGGTTGAAGCTTATAAAAAAAATCTGACCTCATACGGATATGTAGTGGAAGAAAGGAAGGAGTATTTTAATAGGCAAATAATATTTGAGTATTATTGGGAAAGTAATTTTAACCTTGCAGACCCCCTGGAAAGGTCTAGGAAGGACCCCCAGGAATCCTCAAGCTACACTTTGAGACTCATCGCTCAAATGAAACTGAAATCCAGACACATGTGCACTGACTCGCCTGAGGTTACATTGCAAATGAGTGCTGGAGCCAGAACTACAGCTTATCCATCTGTTCTGCACTTAATTCTCTCCACCAAATAGGTGCTATTATTCATCCCCCGTTACTGGTTTCCAATAGCTTTAAAGTTGTCAAAGCATTTTCCTCATGATACAGTGATTCTGTTAAAGGTACATTCCATGTTTCTCCACCCAATCTGTTAAAGGCCAGGACTTTCTTGCCTAGGAATCTGATTCGTCAAATAGAATTGTGTGGCAGATCAAACTGCCCTGAATCAACAGACATCTTGGATCAAGAGGAAGAGAAGTGGGGAGGGTATTTAGGGAAGCACGTGGAGGAGATTTCTAGCTCAGTACAAACATATACATTCTTTCCAGGAATCCTAAAGATGCAAGAATTATAAGATGCCAGAACTGGGAGGCGCCACAAAGGCCATGTAATCCAATGTGTACCTAAGCAGGGATCCTTTTGGCCACGTACCCAGAAGGCTGCCACTCACTTTTTACTGAAAGCTCTCTAGTGAGCACACACCTCTTGCAATGGGTAGAGAGTGAGCTGCTTTGGCAGCCAAATCCTGCTTCAGATACTCACTTTGTTGTTGAGTCATTTCAGTCATGTCTGACTCTTTGTGACCCCATTTGGGGTTTTGTTGGTGAAGATACTAGAGTGGTTTTCCATTTCCTCCTCCAGCTCTTTTGACAGATGAGGAAACTGAGGCAAACAGAGTTAAGTGACTTGCTCAGGTTCACACAGCTAGCAAATGTCTGAGGTCAGATTTGAACTCGGGGAGATGAGACTTCCTGAGTTTAGGTCTGGTGCTCTACCCACTGTACCATCTAGACATTTTCTAGCTATGTGCTAGTAATCTTGCTAGCCTTCTTCCCTAGGACACATCCTAAACTCATCTTCAATTTCCTCATCTGTAGAAGAGAGATTAAAAAGAGTGACAACCTCACAAATTAGTCATGAGGATCAGATTAGATATGCATTCAGTCAGTCAACTAGCATTTATTATGTGCCAGGCTCTGTGCAAGCAATGGGTATACAAAGAAGCAAAACAACAAAAAAAAGAAAATGGTCCCTGATCTCAAGGAGCTCACAATCGAATGGAGAAAACAATGTGCACACTATGTACAAATGAGATGCACACAAGATCCATTGGGGAAGTAGTCTTAGAGAAGTCATGAGCATTAAGGGGGATTGGGAAAGGCTTCTTGAAGAATGTAGGACTTTAGCTGAGACTAGGAAAAAGCCAGGAAGTGTGGATGAAGAGAGAGAGCATTCCAGGAGTTGAGAGAGAAGTGTCATTTGCATGAGGAACAGCAAGGAAGCAAGTGTCTTTGGACTGCAGAGTATTGGAGAGGAATGAGGAATAAGAAGACTGGAAAGGTAGGAAGGAATCAGCATATGAAGGGCTTTAAAAATATAAAGTTTCATGAATCTTAATGTGCTACATACATGTAAGGTATCATTATTCACGTAAAATGTATGTACATGTACATACACACAGATAGATGCAGGTAAAAATATACTCACATGTATCAACCTTATCATATAAAAATATAAGTTTATAAATATATCTTATCTCATGTGTGTATACATATATATGTTGTACATGTGTATATACACAGTCTGTACATGTACACATATATGTATATTATATATACTGCTTTACCCACCTTATCCAATATCCAATAAGTATGTATATATACATGCAAGTGTGTATGTATATATATACTGCTTTATCTGCCTTATATCATGTGTATACACATATATTACATGTGTCTATTTATATACATATGTATATATACATATTATGTGTATATGCATATAAATATGTGTGCATGCACATACATGTGTATGCTTCTTTATCTTATCTCATGTGTACATACATGTATGTGTGTGTGTTTACATGTGTTGTGTGTGTATGTTTGTGTATATACAGACAGTTTTACCTACCTTATTTCATTGGATCTTTACAACAGACCTAAACATTTATTTATTTATTTGTTTGTTCATCCATTTATTAAGCAGCTGTGATTATTAAAACCAAAAAAACCATATATCTATATGCTATTATTATTAAAAATAAAATCTTTTCATCCTTTCCACTACTAATAGGCCAACCAGGAAGTATAGCCAGTTCCTTCTCGTTATAATTTATGTTTGTGGCTCAGCCCTTTTCAGTTGGAGGCAGCATCACATTTCTAGGCCCAGCCTCTAGTTCAGGTCCTAAGGCCTGTGAAACTTTTCTCTACTCCCCTGATTTAGGAACAAGTCTGGTTTGAATCAAGGAAGGCCTATCCTGTTAAAACCAGAAAGGTGTCTACTAACCCAGATCCCTTGCCTTGTTGGATCCCACTTTCCTAAGATCCATTGTTCTGCCTGGAACCAAATCAGGGAGAGTGTGAGTTATTATGTTCCCCATCCTTAAAAAGAGAAATGAACAAAGAATTAATTGATAATTATGGGATTGCCAAAGATGACTAAGAAGGCAGGTTCCTAATAAGGTGGAAATATGATTATCCCTATTTTATAAATGATGAAGTTGAGGATCAGATAAGGCAAGTGAGTTGCCCAAGATCACCCAGCTGGGAAGGGGTAGAGCTGGGCATTGAACCCAAGTCCTTTGGCATTTGGTTCTGCACTCGAAAGAGTGTTCTACCATGATAACTCACACATGCATTGGGTTCTGTTTTTCAGGACGATCTCATTCCTTGTATTCTCCATTCTCATTCCCTCCCTAATGCAACACATTTATTTTTTACAGAAGCCAAGGGAGATCCATTGATGCTTTTCTTCAATTGCCTCCTTTTCCAGGAACTCATCACCGCCTGGTATATCGGGTTCCTGACGTTGATCCTTTCCTCATTTCTTGTCTACCTGGTGGAGAAAGATGTGCCTGAGATTGACGCTCAAGGAATGGAGACGAAAGAAGAGTTTGAGACCTATGCAGACGCGCTGTGGTGGGGCCTGGTCAGTCACAACCCATACAGCTTCTCTGAGATTGGCCATGGGGCAGATGATGAGGGGAAACATGGTGGTTGAAATCAAGAGAAGATGGCATGGGAGTGGGCTGCCCTTTTGTTTTCCTCGATGCAGCTAAAATCAGCTTACACGTGAAATGCACCATCTTTAATAAGAAAAGATGTTGCTACTGACCGACATCATCAGTAAGCCATAAGTGTTGTGTTGTTTTATCCAGCTATGGGAAGGATTTTACAGTGGCTTATCCATCTGAACCCCTTTATGATCAAGGACGTGTGTTTGGAAGAAGTTGTCATTTAATGGAAACCATAGTAGATCTGGAATTGAAAGATTTGGGGTCTGCATTTCATGTAACTGTGTGACCCTGAGTAAATCACATCACTTCTCTAATAACCTCCTTTTCTTCATCTGTAAAATAAGAATAATAACACATTGCCTCCTCTACAGGGTCATTGTAAGCAAAGGGGTTTATAAACCTAAAGTATTATGTAAATGCGAGCTTTTGTTATAGGTATCACAGAGTAGTAGAATTAGAAAGCTCAGTGGCACAGTGAATGGAGTGCCAGACCTGGAGTCAGGAAGACCTGAGTTCATATCTGACCTCAGACACTTACTAGCTGTATGAGCTTGGACAAGTCACTTAGCTCTATTTGCCTCAGTTTCCTTAGCTGTAAAATGAGCTGGAGAAGAAAACGGCAAACCATTCCAGTATCTTTGCCAAGGACATCCCAAATGGGGTCACAAAGAGTCAGGCATGACTGAAATGACTTAACAGCAACAACAACAGAGCTAGAAGGGGCCTTAAAGATTATCTAGTCCAAGCACAGCGTTTTACATATGAAGAAACATAGGCCCTGATAGAGGAAGACCTTTGCCAAAGGTCATAGGAGCACAGATTTAAAGCTGGAAGTCATTTCAGAGCCTGTCTAGTCCAGTCCTAACATTCTGCAGATAAGGAAACAAGTCCAGGGAGATTGTGACTTTCAGGGTCAAGGTCAAACAGGCAGTAAGCATCAGAAGTTGGATTTGAACCCAGGTCAGATACAAGATCGTGCAATCTTGGTGTATATTCAGAGGCCATGGAAAAGAGAGGATTGCTGAGCTGTTTAATGAACTTGTAATTAGTGTGTCATGAATAATGGAACCAGAATAAAAATGTTTCTGTAACTCATATTTATATAGCCCTTTCCTCATAACCTTATGAGGTAGATAGGTAGAGCAAGAAGAATTACTCCCAATTTATAGCCAAGGCAACTCGAGCTCAGAGAAGTTATAAGCATAGCTTTGAGGTGTCAGAGTCAGGGCTCACTACAGTTCTGGGCAAATTAAACAACCCTTTGTTTTTCGAACTCACCATGCCCTCCCTGTGCATTCTCACAGGTTATCCTCATGCCTAGAATGCACACCTCCTTCATTTCTCCTTGTCCAAAGCCTCTTTTTTTTTTTTTAAATTTAAGAGTCAGCTCAGGTGCCAGCTCCCCTGTGAAGCCTTCTCTGATCTCTCTCCTCACCCCCAACCAACCCTCAGTTGAAAATAATGTCTCCCCTCCCCTTTCCTACAGTTCATTGTCTGGATTTTTCCTTTGCACCTATCACCCTTTACCTTGTATTATACTTAGCCACATACATCTCTGAGCCCCAGCTTCAGACTCCGTGAAGCAAAGATTGTGTAATTTTACATCTTTGCATCCTCTGCCCTGCCCCAAACAGTGACTTGTACACAGCAGGTTCTTAAGTAAATTTTTGCTGAATGGGGAAGTTGGCATCTTTGCTGAGCCTTTAGGATTACATAGGCAAACCTTAGGGGAAATGTCATTTAGGTTGGAGGGAACACTGGGATGGAATGGGAAAATGTAGAATATTTCTGAGGCAGAGCAAGTTGACATTTTGGCTGGAGCATAGACTACAGGAAGGAGAAAAAAAATCAGAACTTCCCTAGTGTTCTAAAAGTTCTACTCTGGCTCTCATTGATTGGACAACAATAGGTCCCTGCCCAAGCACCACTTAATGGTTGTTTTGGGGGCTGTGCTGGCTCAGAGTGAATGTAAATAGTAATTGTTTTTCTTCTGACCAGAAACCCTCAGGGTGTTCCCCTCCCAGTTTGATTTTTTTTTTTAATTAAAAAAAAAGCTATCCCTTGGCTCACTTTTGTTTTTGTCAAGGCAATGAAGTGACTGCCCAGGGTCACACAGCTAGTAAGTGTCAAGTGTCTGAGGCCAGATTTGAACTCAGTTCTATCCTGAATCCAAGGCCAGATGCTCTATCCGCTGTACCATCTAGCTGCCCCAGCATGGCTCACTACTTAATCAGCCCAAATCATTGAATGGGCATTGCCTCAGTCAAAGTAAGAACTCAGAAAGACCTTAATTTAAAAAGGCCAAGGTCTCCCACTGCATGCTGGGCCATCTCCAGTAGTCCTGATCTATATCTAGCCATTGGACCCAGATGGCTCTGGAGGAAAAAGTGAGTCTGGTGACTTTTCACAGACCTCCCTCACTTAAATCCAATTCATCTACAAGTCATGGCACCACCCTCCTGATGTCATGATCGTCTTCAAGAATGAAGGACAAACCACACAACCACAACCACACACAAAAGTTTTACTCTAAGTTATTGGTTTGGAACTTGGAATGCATTCTTTCACACAAATGGTGTTATATATGGTTGTTAATTTCAAAGTTGAATCATAATAGAGGTAGAATCATAAAAAATAATCAAAGGTCATCTTTTCCAATCTTTATCTGAATAGGAATCTCTTCTACAATACCACTGAAAAATGGTCACGTACCTTCCATTTGAAGACTGATCCCCAGCCCCTTAGTGATGGAGAGCTCACTGCTTAGCAGAGCAGTTGTTTCCATTTTTGGTACTTTAAATACTCTGTGTGCATGTGCACACATGTGTACACACACACACACACACACACACATACCACTAATGACATTTTTTCAAGCATGAAGGTAACAGTATCTCACATCTGTATAGCATCCTAGACTTACAAAGCACTTTCCACAAGATAGAGCTGTGAAACAATTTTAAACAAAACAGGCTCAGAGAAATTAATTTTTCCTCACAATCACACAACTAACAAGAATTAGAACTTGAATTTGAACCCTGACTTCCTGCCTTCAACTCCAACATTTGACTGAACCAGTATTTCTCAAAGTATGGTCTAAGAACCACAGGCAGTATCCAAGGCCCATTGCCAGGGTCCAAGAAAATAAACTATTTTCAAGATAATAAGCTATTTTAATTTCTAATATGGTAAATTTTGATAGATGTGACCCATATAAACAACAGTTCTATGGGGGGAAAGTCACCTATAATTTTTAAGGGTATAAAGGAGCCCTGACCCTCTAAAATTTGGGAACCACTGGACTAGGCCATGTTGTTCTACTTGTATACATGTACCAAAAAATTCATATACACATATATTTATCGTGTCATTCAATCTCTTGGCACCCTAGGTAACTCTAATGAGTTATAAATTACAGATGAATTGGCTTCTGCATATAGATGTGTGTATTAAATGTGTATATTATATGTCTCTCTATAATATATATGTATCATATAAAGTGTTATATTTATTGTATTTGTGTACATAAATATTTTTCCTAGGAGTAGTGGTGGCCTAGACCTGTGATTCTCATCAGTGTAGAGGAACTATATGCATTGAAATTCTCTCCACTGTTGTAAATCAGCAACAGGTCTATAATTTATAAAATTTTAGAACTATCTGCTTCACCAAGAGGTAAAGTTACTTGCCCAGAGTTACGCAGACAGTATGTATCAGAGTTAGGACTGGAAGCCAGATCTTTTTGATTCCAAGACTAGCTTTCCACCACCATCCTCTCTATTCTGCCTGTCATACCACACCCCACCCCAGCCACATGCACACTCATACATGCAATGTGTTTATTTTTATATATGTAGAGAGAAATAAAAGAGGAAGTAGAAAGGAGATTCTCCAAGGCAAATATTATAATCTACTTCCTTTTTATTTAATTCTGCAAAAGATCAAACGCTGAAATGACTTTGTTGGATTTGGGGTCATGAGTCAATCTGTCCATAGTCCTGAAAAAGGAAATTTTGATCTGCACACACACACACACATACACATACACACACACACACGTGTATGTACATATACATACAAACTTTGATCATTTAATATATGTATCCATACACACACATAGATATATACACATATATCTATGCTTGTGTATCCATATATGTGTGAAACAGACCCTTATTAAATAGTTCCAAAGAAATTAAACATATATTGTCATTTTCAAATAAGAGCACCGTTCTGACATTTGCTGAGTATCATGCCATGCTTTTCTTCTTTTTTAGTAAAGGCAACAGATAAAGAAATATATGTGTGCATATAACACACACACACACACATACATATATATATATTATATATATACACATACATATATATGTATATGTGTATATATATACACACATATTTATGCATATACAGATATATGTATATATGTGTATGTATATATATATGTATATACACATATATTTAAAACCTTTGATTCTGGTGTCTGCCAGGCCATCTGTCTAATACCTATTTAAACAGGCTTAAGTGCCTAGAAGGCCAGCACTTACACTTACACAGCCCCAGAGGGTGGAGTTTGGGAGGGTTACCCTGAACTTACCTCCCCTGTACTGTACCATGACAAAATTGTTCTTTGTACAGATTACCCTGGCAACCATTGGTTATGGAGACAAGACCCCCAAAACTTGGGAAGGCCGTCTGATTGCAGCCACCTTTTCTCTAATTGGAGTCTCATTTTTTGCTCTTCCAGCTGTAAGTATCATTATAATTGCAAAGTCGTGGTTGTAGAATACTTTATAAAGATGGTCTCATTAGATGCTCACAGTAGCTCTGTAAGGTCAATAGTTCAAGCATTTATTTTACAGATGAGGAAACCAAAGCTTGGAGAGGTTAAGCCACCTATTCAAGGTCACACTACCAGTTAGTGGCACCTACTCTACTAAAACCCTGGTTTTAGTTGCTATATGGCCCTCGTGTTAGCATACTAACTGACAATGTCTGAGCAGAGACATAGGATATAAAGGAGATGGCCTGGCCAAGTGTAAATCAATAGTTTCCAGGATTAAAGAGGTGATAATCTCCTGTCCTCTGCCCTCATCAGACCACATTTGTGGGATTATATTGAATTCTGAGTGCCATGTCTTAGGAAGGACATTGATTGGGGGTGGAGGGGAGGAGTAGTGTCCGGAGGATGACAGCCAGCATGGTGCATGATCCTGAGTTCTGAATTATAAAAATTGAAAGAATCATCTAATAGTCAACACACACACACACTCACACACACAGAGTTTACAGATTAGGAAACTGAGGACCAAAGAAACCAAACAACTTGGCCAAAGACATACAGCTAATTAACAGTTGATCTAGGATTTGAACCCTGGCCTTCTGATTTGCTATTTTCTTGACTGAGAAATAGATGATGCAGGGTCCTTGGAAAGACTGTGAAATAAGGATCTAATAAACTTATTCTCTCCAAGATATGAATGACTGACAAAACAATCCACTTCAGTGAAGTCCTCCTATGATGCTTTATTGTGGTGTGTATTGATCCTGGATTCTCAAAGATCATGTTGGCATACTATAGGCTGTAGCCAGTCCTTCCAAAATGGAAAGGCTTTGAATATGGGACCAATGATACACTTTATGTCTGTCCTCTGAGTATCAACGTAGCTAAGTTTGGAGAGGCCCATCACAACATTGGTTGTTGGACCAGATTGAATAAATGTTATAGCCACAGCAAGTTCCAGAGACCATCTACTAAGTCACAGAGGGGATTCAATTTACATTGACCCCCATAACTGAATCCACATATTCTTGAAGTACTGGGGAAAGCTTACAATGTGACATCTTCCTGGGGACATTTGTATTTTAACTTTAAAGAACAGCATTAATCTAAAAGAATGAATTTCTAATGGTGGAATTCTGGGTATCAGTGAACCATTGAAAAGAAGGAGGGGGAGAGTATTCCAGGCATGGGTGGCAGCCAGAGAGAATGCCTATAGCTGAGAGATGGAATGACAAGTGTCACTGGATCAAACATATCAAAAAGTAAGGTATAAGAAAACTAGAAAGGTAGGATGGAGTTAGGTTATGAAGGGCTTTGAACTTCAAATAGAGGATATTGTATTTACTGCTGGAGGCAATAGGGAGCCACTGGAATTGATTAAATGGGGGAGGGGTGACACAATCAGACCTACATTTTAGGAAAATCACTTTAGTGGTATGAATGGAGGATGGATGGAAATGGAGAGAGACTTAAGGCAGGCAGATCTACTAGTTGACTATTGTAATGGTCCAGGCATGAACTGATGAGGTCTTGTATTAGAAGGGTGGAAGTGTCAGAGGAGAGGAGGGAGTATATTTGAGAGATGTTTCAAAGGCGAAATTGACAGGCATTGATGACAGATTGGATATGGGGTGAGAAACAGTGAGGAATTCAGAACGACTGCCAAGTCATGAGCCTGAGGGACAAGGAGCGTGGTGTTGTCCTCCACAGTAATAGGAAAGGGAGGCAAGGAGGATTTAAGGAAAAAATATAACAAGTTCTGTTTTGAACATATTGAGTTTGACATGTCTACTGGACATCTAATTTGAGATGTCTGAAAGGCAGTTTGGGGATATGAGACTGGAGGTCAGCAGAGAGTTTAAGAGCAAGACAGGAAGGTGTGAGAATCATCAGCATAGAGATGGTAATTAAATCCATGGGAGCTGAGATCACCAAGTCAAGTAGTATAGAAGGAGAAGAGAAGAGGGCCCAGGACAGAGCCCTGATGACATGTATGATTAGAGCTTGGGATATGGAGGATTCAGCAAAGGAGATAGAAAAGGAGCAGTCAGACATGAAGCAGGAGAACCAGGAGACAACGGGGTCTCAAAACCCAGATAGAAGAGAGTTTCAAGGAAAAGAAGGTGATCAACAGTGTCAAAGACTGCAGAGAAGTCAAGGAGAATGAGGATTGAGAAAAGCTAGCAGATTTGGCAACTAAAAGATCATTAGTAACTTTTGAGAGAGCAGTTTCACTGGAATGATAAAGTTGGAAACCAGATTTTCGGGGATTAAGTAGTAAGAGGAGAGAGAGTGGGGACACTTATTATAGATGGACTTTTTAGGAGCTTAACTACAAAAGGCAGAAGAAATACGGGATGATAGGGATGGAAGGATCAAGTAACAGGTTTTTTTCAGGATAGGGGAGACATGGCGTATCTGTAGGCAGTAGATAATGAACCAATAAAGAGGGATAGATTGAAAAAGAGTGAAAGAGTGGGGATGACAGAAGGGGCAGTGTATTGGAGGAGATGGGATGGAATATGGTTACCTCAACAAGTAGAAGGGCTAGTCTTGGCATAAGGAGTAAGGTCATTTCATCATATGAGACAGAAGTGAAGAAGGAGATAGTAGCAGAATGTACCTGAGTGATAGGAGATTAAGGGGACAGAAAAAGAAGGAACTTATGGCAAGTGAACTAATTTTTTTTCTGTAAAACAGGAGGCAAGTTTCTCAGCAGAGAGGGTTGGGGAAGTGGAGCCATGGGAGGTTTAAGGAGGGATAATAAAGTTTGGAAGAGCCATTGTGTAGAACGGTTTAGTGAGTTATTAAGGGAGGCATAGTAGGATTGCCTAGCAACAATGAGGGTCCACAGCTGAGGCTATGTAATATAAATCTGTAGTGAATCCAGCCAGAACAGTTGCACTTTCTCTTCCTGCCTTCAGCAGCACATGTGTAAGTGCGAAGGCAATGAATGGTAGGAGTAATCAAAGACTGAGGCTTGACTGGACATAACAACATGATAATGGTGGAGGGATTCAAGAGAGGAGGACAGTGCAGAAGTGAATTGGTTATCCTAGGAGTCAATGTAGGAGAACAGGAAAGAATGGTTAGTACAGGGTAAATGGCCTGGGAGACCATTGAGGGGTCAAGGGCTTCAGCATTCACGGTGTGAGTGAAGACTAGGGTTATGTAAAGAAAGGCAGAGGGAGAGGTGAAAAGTCAACATATTATAATTGGATAAGAGGATTTCAGAATTCTTGAACATGAAGGTGGTACATCTGTGGGGGATGGCCAGATCAAGCATATGTTTTTTTGAGCGTGGAGCTGAAGTGGAGTAGAGAAATAGCTCATGGTGAGGAGAGCAGGGAGGAAGAGTAGGAACTGAGAGGGCAGGGTAAAAGAGGGAGAATCAGTGTGAATGTTGAAGTCGCCTAGTAGAAGAGCAGGACAAAATAGTAACAGCATCAAACTAACAACAACAAAATCAAAGCCTAGAGTGGGAGCAGAGTTATGAATGTTCTCTCTGTCTCTCTGTCCCTCTCTGTGTATCCTGTGTCTCTCCTCTTCTCTGTCTCTTTATCTTTGTCTCTCACTGTCTCTGCTTCTCTCTCTTTTTTCCTCCCTCTCACAAAAATTACTTGGTATTTATTTTGCATATATTTTCTGTTTTCTTCTGGATAAACATGTAGTCCTCACCCCTTGCCATTAGAATGTAAGTTCCTTTAAATTAGGAACTGATTCACTTTTATTTCTATCTTCCCATCACCTTGAGCAGTGACTAGCACAATGCTTAATTGTGCTTAATTGAATTGAATACTTACCCTTTTGAACATTATCTTTTCCTCTGCATTTTCCCTATTGACAACATTCTCTTCTGTCTGCTATTTTCTAAGCTCTGTTATGTTGCAGGTCACCTTCCTTCTCTGGTCTAGGAATCTTTCACAGTTTCCGAGCTAAAAGTCATTTCAAAGGTCTACTATAAAAATCCATAATTGTGTAGAAGAGGAAACTAAAACCAGATAGGTTAAGTAATTTGTCTAAGTTCACATAGGTAAAAACTATCAGAAGACCCCAATTTCAAAGCTCACTTTTTTGTTTGTTTTTGTTTTAGCCCATCCATACTTAGAGTGAGGAGGCTGGACAAGATGACCTCTCAGTTTCTTCTGTAGCTCGGAAATTCTATGACTTTAGGTCTGATGAAGATGAGAACTCAAATTTTATTTGCTTCCTATAGACTACTATAATAAAATTATCTTAAAACAATATTTAGGGAAATAGCAAAACTCCTTAAGAAGGGTTTCATGTATGTTTAATTCAATTCAATTTGAGAAACCCTTCTTGATCACCTCCTCTGTGCTTGTCATAATGGGGTACTCAGAAGCTTGAGGCACGCTCACTACTTTCAAGTGCGTAATCACCTTGGAGAGACAAGACACATGAAACGAACAACAAATTTTCTATTCAATAATAGGTGTTTTATTAAGTGTTTGCTATATGCCAGGCACTGTACTAAGCAATGAGGATACAAAGTGGGATAGAATGGAAAGACCTAGAGTTAAAGGACCTTGGGACCACTCAAATTGTCTGGATGTTTTTTCTTGATATCAAGTCTCAATTTGACTCTTTACAATTTCTACCCATTACCTCTAGATCTATCAGGGACCAAACAGAACAAGTCTAACCTCTCCCCCTTAAAATAATAGTAGCTACTTAGTAGTTTGTATAGCACTCATTTTATCTCATTTTATTCTCACAGCATCCCTGGGAAGTAGGTACTGTTATTATTCCCATTTTACATATGATGAAACTGAGGCACAGAGAGGTTGAATTACTTGTCCAGAGACCTATAGCAAGTAAATAAGCATCTTAGGCAACATTTAAACTGAAGTCTTCCTGACTCTAGGACCTGAGTCTAGCACCTCTCTCCAATATGACAACCAGCTGCCTCTAATGACAATTCATCATCTATTTGAAAGCAGCAATCATATCCTCCCTAAGTCTTCTCTTCTCCAAATTAAAAATTCCTAGTTACTTCAACCAACCAACCAACCAACCAATCAACCAACTGATCAATAAAGCAACACGCATTCCTCAAGCACCCCTAAGTGCCAAGCATTGCACTGACATACATTCAACCCCCATATTGCATGAATGTAGGGAAGTTTTGCTTTCTAGCTTACCCTCCTCTGTCCTTCCTAAAATAAAATGGGGTATCTGGTACTGAATGCATTACTCCAGGTGTGTGGTGACCAGGGCAGGATATAATGGGATTATCACCTCCTTGTTCCTGAATGCTCTGCCTCTCTTCATGTAACCAAAGAACCCACTGACTTTCTTGGCTTTCACCTCACAGTGTTGACTCTTTTGGAGCTTGTGGTCCATGAAAACTTTCATGTATTTTTTGGTTGAATGATTATCTAGCCATACTTTGTATTTACATTTATCCAAATTAAATTATTAGACTGCCCACCATTCTAGCTTGTCAAGATCTTTTTGAATCCTGACTTTTTCATCCATTGTGTTAGTGATCCCTCTCAGTTTTGTGCCATCTGCAAAATTGATAAGTGTGCCCTTTATGCCAAGTTATTGATAAAAAACATTAAATGGCCCAAGGTTGAACATAGATCCCTGGGGTACTCCATTAGAGACTTCCTTCTAAGTTTACATCAAACCTTAATGACTGCTTTTTGTCTGACCATTCAGCCTATTCTGAAAGTATCTAATCATGCTATTGTCTAGTCCAATACTTCTTAAACTTTTTCCACTTGTGACCCCTTCAGCACTTCTTAAACTGTGGATTGCAAGCCTCTAGTCCATATGGGGGCTGTCTCCAGTCGTCCTGATCTATATCTTGCCACTGGACCCAGATGGCTCTGGAGGAGAAAGTGAGGCTGGTGACTTTGCACAGCTTTCCCTCACTTAAGTCCAGTTAACTTGCAAGTCATGGCATCATCTTCCTGATGTCATGTCCTCTTTGAGAACGAAGGACAAACAACAACAACAACAATATATATGTTTTCCAAGTATATAATATGACACTGTGACATCTTTGCTAAAATCTAGGTAAATTCTATCTACAGCATCCCTATGATCTACCACTTTAGTAACCTTATAAAAAGGAAGGACATAATATTGGTCTGGGATGACCTTTTCTTAACAAAGCCACTCTGGCTCTTTGTGATCCCTGATTCCTTTTCTAAATGATCACTATCTCTTTAAAAAATTCATTGTGTAATTTTGCCAGAAGTCTAAGTCAAGCTGAAGGGCCCATAGTTAACCAGTTCTATTCTCTATCTTTTGGAAAACTGAGACTATCTTTAACCCCTTTCCAACTTGCTGTTATCCTATTATGCTTCTTTCTTTCTTCACAAATTAAAATATGAACAGTGCATAGTAAGGATCCAATATTCAATAAGATTCAAGGAAGAGATTACTTTTAGCTGGGAGATCAGGAAAGACTTCATGGAGATAGTAGCATTTAATCTGAGTCTTGAAGGTAAGGAAGAACTTCAGCAAACAGAAATGTTAGAGGTAGTAGATTCTAGTGTAGATTCCAATGAGGGGGTGGGGGGAGGTGGGAAGGACAGCATGAACAAAGGATCAGATGTGAGAAATGAAAGAAGAGAATGGGGAAAAAAAGTAGTAATCAAATCGTGGGATATGGAGTTAGCCCAAAGCTGTCATTTTGCAGAGAAAGAAAGAGGCTCAGAAAGGAGAGGATACTTTCCCCAGAATACATGAGTGATGGATCTATAATTTGAACTCTGGTTGCCTGACATTTATTCCAGTGTTCTTTCCACTGTTCACTACAGGCACTCAATTCCCTAAAGATACTGTTTCATGTCTGTTTGTCCTGTATGTCATCCAGTCAGGAAGGTCAGAGGTCAGAGCTCTGAACTGGGCACTGAGGAGGTGGATTTCATGGAGTTCGTACTATAGGAGTACAGTGGGTATGTGAAAGGGAGGACAAACAAGGAAGTGATGAGAAGGGGAGGGTAAATCTGGAAAGGATGAGTATCATGTCATTGACCATAGAGAAAACGCCTTGAGGTCCAGGATTGCCCCAGATGATGAAGAGATGACAGAGAATGGAACAAGAAGGGATCCCTTTTTTTTCTTCCCAAGTCTACCATCTTCCCAAACAGACATTCCTAAAGCTATTACACAGACAAGAATCTTTTCTTCCTCCACTTTAGGTAGAATGTGGTAGATGATTAAATACCAAAATGCATATTTTTCCAACAGTCACTCTTCCGAATGCATTCATTGGTGAGGTTTTATAAGTGCGTGACTTCTTCTGGGTCTTCTTGTTCACCTGGGGGCATATTCTCTTTATAGTGTCCTAGGGAGCTAAATTAAAAATAACAAAAGGAACACTCGATTTGGAGCCAGAAGAACTGGGTTCAAATCCAACTCTACCATTTAATATTTGGACAAGTAAACCTCATCCCTCTGGGTACCTTAGTTTCCTCATCTGTAAAATGAAAGGATTGACTAGATGACCATAGACTCTCAGCATTAAGTCTGTGATCCTCTGATTCTATGAATGTTCACATTTATATAGTATTTTAAGGATTGCAAAGCATAACTTTATATTGTCTAGGGCACTGCTATTAGCATTCATGGCTAATAGAACAAGGGACCTGAAGTTAGGAAGTCAGATCCTGCTTTAGACAATTGCTAGCCATGTGATCTGCGCAAGTCACTTAACCTCTGTCAGCCTCAGTTTCCCCAACTATAAAATGGAAATAGTAACACGACTTACCTCCCAGTCCAGGATTACTGTGAGGATAGAATAATATTTGTAAAGTGCTTTTCAAATCTCAAGGTACCATAAAAATACTATTATAATTATTATTACTATGGCTTTATGAATACAAATCAATCAATTTTACATGCATTTATTAAGTTCCTACTATGTGCTACAAACTGTGTTCAGTGTTGGGAATATAAGGACAAAGAAAGCAGAATGATTATCTAGAGTGCCCAGGGCTCTGTTCTGATTGTTTTTGTTAATGTTTCTTTTAATCAGGGAATTCTTGGATCAGGGCTGGCTCTCAAGGTACAAGAACAACATCGACAGAAACATTTTGAGAAAAGAAGGAAACCAGCAGCTGAACTCATACAGGTTTGTTTTCTCTGGCTTTCTAATTGTAAAGATATCAGCTATATTTTTAAATGATGCCATGCTATCCAGGGATATTTTCTTTGTGTGGGTGTGTGGGTGTGTGTGCACATATATGCTCATGCATGCATCTGTGCCAGTGCTTGGTGGCTGACTCCCAGGGTTCCATGACCCCTGTCACAAGGACATCCAAGAGAACAGAGAAGAACTTGGAAAACATCATCAGAAATTCAGATGCTCTAGACAATGTGACACAGAATGTTTCAATCATCTTGTTCTTCAATAGTCTCTGAACCTAAGACCTCAGATAGCTGCTGCTTCACGCAATGTACAAGGCTTTTGCCAGAATATTCAACATAAGAGGACACAGCATGATTCTAGAGGGGAAAACTACTCAGGGAAGCAGATGCTCCAGAGCTTTACTGCTCTTCCACAAACAGTTTTCACAGGATTCTCTGGTTTTTCCTTATTTTCAACAGAAGTAGCTCTATGAACACAGTTTCAGTACCACTTTGAGGAACAGTGACACAGAGGCCTGGACTTACTCTGCTTTTCTATAATCCCCTGGCCAACAAAGTAGAAGAAAAACTGGTGCCCTCTTTAGGATTTTGGTCAGCAGCTGCTGCCTTCTTACCTTCAAGTTCATTATATTCTTCTTTAATTGTGGCAAAATGACTATATGCATCCATATATATATGAAGTAGATAGATAGATAGATAGATAGATAGTAGATGGATGGATGGATAAATGGATAGATGATAGATGGATAGGTGGATAGATGGATAGATAGATAGATAGATAGATAGATAGATAGATAGATAGATAGTAGATGGATGGATGGATAGATGTTACATAAGTAGATGGATAGATGGATGGATGGAGAGATAGATAGATAGATAGATAGATAGATAGATAGATAGATAGATAGATAGATAGATAACATTTACTAAGTGCTTACTATGTGCCAGGCCCTGTTCCATGTGCTGGAAATACAAAAACAAGAAAACAAAATAGTCCCTACTTTCCAAGAGCTAATAAGTGAAGAGATCTGGGAAGAGAGGATAGGAGAAGGAAAGAGAGGAAAGGGAAGATGGAAAGGAAGGAGGATATCAGCATGAGGGCAAGGCAGCCAGAGTGATATTAGAGCAGATCAGAGGGTGAACTGGAAGTAAAATGAGTAGTTCCTGAAGACAGTTGCTCCCTGTGCCAAACAGAATAGGCTTAAGGCTATAAGAGTCTGTCCACAACTGGCACTCTGACATTTAGAAATGAAAAGGACAAATAAAGTTAATTATATAGTCCATCTACCATAGCTCATCCCCCAGCTGAATTCCTTTGACCTGGGCTTAATCTCATGTTGTGTGAGAAGTCTACTTTAGTATTAAGGAAATGTTTTCCAAATTTAATAAAAACCATTTCCTCATGAGCAGAATTCTCATCTTCTTCCCATATTAAATTCAGCTGAGCCTGTGAAGTGTTGGGAAATGTTACAGACATATCAAAGTTTTTAACATCCCAACAGCCTTTGAACAAAGAACGTGGCTTTCACATAACTCCAATGTGATGTGAAAAGAGTTTCTTACATTTCCACCAGGGGGTGCTCCTTCCTTTGAATGCAATTATGGGGCTGGGGAGAAGGGCATAAAATCTTTGGAATGCATTTCTGCTACAGTTTGGGTCAGAAAAGGGCAGAAAGTTGAATTTGATTATATTTAATTTCCCAATAACGAAGTTAAATCATCACCTCACTCCCCCCCCCCCCCCTTGAGTATACTTTAAGACTCTAACCATCACTAGGCTGGGTTAAGCTTTTTTGTTGTTGTTTAAGAATCACAATCTATTAAGTAATCAATTAAGAAGCATTTGTTATTGAATTTTAACAAGCACAGAATGTTTAAACTAGAGGCGATCTCAGGGGTCATATAGTGTAACTCTGTTGTGTACAGATGGGGAAACTAAGACCCTGAGGGGTGAAGGACTGAGGTCATATGACTAGTCAAGTAGCAAGTGGAGTGACATATTATGCATAGTGGATTGTGAGTTGAAGTTAGGAATACCTGGCTTCACATCCTATCTATGATGCTAGCTCTGGAACCACGGGAAAGTCATTTCATTGTTTATTGCCCCCAAGGCAGAAATGTCAAACATGGAAGGCCACAAGCTACCCCCCAACCCAGATTAACTAGATTAAAATGTATTTTGGAAATATTTAACAAAATAAACAAAAATGCAATAAAACATAATATTAATATATGGTTTTCTACATACATATGTGATCCATAAGGATCCTTATGTATGATTTAGTGGCCCTTATTTTTACTTGAGTTTGACCCCACTGGTTTCAGGCTATATATAACCTATATGAATTGTCATCTTGCAGTGGTAAAAAAAAAAAAAATTTCCACATTGAGATTTCCCCACACTGATGAAAAAAACATGGGATTATACTTTTAGAAATGGAATGGACTTTAGAGTTCATTGTGTCCAAAATATCTACATATTTACAAATGAGGAAACTGAGGCACAAAAGGTTGTGAGTTGCTTAAGATTATACAGGTTGTAGGGTTTGAAACTAGTTTCTATGACTCCAACTTTGTTATTCATTCTGCTTCACAAGGTTGAGAGGCCATGTCATATAAACATTAGGGAAAGAAACTACAGATAATGTTTAGTCTGGAGAAGAGGAAATTAGAGGAGACGTGAGAACTACATTCAAATATTTAAAGGGCTGCTAGGTGTCACACTGGATAGATTACTGGTCTTGGAATCAGGAAGACTCATCTTCTGGAGTCCAAATCTGGCCTCACACACTTACTAGCTGTGTGACCCTGGGCAAGTCACTTAACCCTGTTTACCTCAGTTTCTCATCTGTAAAATGAGCTGGAGAAGGAAATGGCAAAGCATTCCAGTATCTTTGCCAAGAAAACACCAAATGGGGTCACAAAGAGTCAGACACAACTGAAACAACCAAACAATAACAATAAAACAACAACACAGGGGAAGAAGCATTAAGCTTGTTCTGCTTTGTACTAGAAAGCAGACCCAGGAATTATGGGTAGAAGTTTCAATTGTGCACATTTATGTTTCAGCTTAGTATAAAAAATCAATTCAACTAGCATTTGTTAAGTATTTGTGATATGGCAGGTAATGTACCAAGCACTGGAGATGCAAAGAAAAGCAAACAGTATGGCCCTTGCCCTCCTTGATGTAGCTGAGGTCAAGATGATTGAGATTTAGCCAGAGTGGAAAAGTCAAAATTAGAATGAGTTAGACATAGTTGGAGCAAGGCAGGTGTCATCAAACCTGGTGAGACATGGCCAAGAGTGGTGAGGCATCTTCAGAATGAATGAAAAAGGCTGGATGGGAGGAACAGGGTTATGGTTTCCCTCCTCGAGGTCATCACATTCTGACAGAGGAGACAGCATGCAAACAACTATGTGCGCTCAAGATATATACAGGGTAAATGGGAAATAAACTAAAAGTTCCAGTTGTCCAAAAGTGGAATGGCCTGCCTCTGAAGGGAGTTAATTCCTTCTCATGAGATATCTTCAAGTGCAAGCTAGAAGGTCACTTGTGGGAAGGGAGAAAAGAAGGGAATAAGCATCTCTAAAGTGTCTACTACCTACCAGACACTGTGTGAAGCTCTTTACAAATATTAATTCCTTCAATCCACCCTTCAGAAACTCATTGTTGCTCTCCCTCCTTCTCCTTATTCTCTTTCCCAGGCTGCCTGGAGGTATTACGCGACTAATCCCAACAGGATTGATCTCGTAGCTACCTGGAGATTTTATGAATCCATCGTTTCTTTTCCATATTTCAGGCAAGTGGCATTTATTTACCCCTTGAATTTACAGTGTGTGACAGCTCTTTCTGATGCTTATGGATTTTGTTTTGATTCATGGTTTAACCAACTTCCTTTTGGCATTTCATTAAGTGTGTATTGATCTCTGAATGGCTGAGAAGGTTAGAAAAAGGTTTAAATATACCTGAGTGGCACCAGCTCAAGGTGGGGAAAAGTGAGAATTGCCATTCCCTAACAACAACATTTATATGGTGCTTTAAGTTTTGCAAAGTGCTTTATAAATACTATCTCATTTTGTCATCAAAATAAGGGTATTTTGAGGTAGATGCTATTATTATAATACCTATTTTTACAAATGAAGAAACTCAGGTAAATAGAACTTGACTTGACTGCCTGGGACATGTATCACCTGCCCTGACTTCATCTCACCCCTCCTGACTGTGTTTTGTCAACCATAATCCTGTTCCTCCCATCCAGCCTTTTTCATTCATTCTGAAGATGCCTCACCACTCTTGGCCATGTCTCACCAGGTTGAATGACACCTTCCCTGCTCCAACTATATCTAACCCATCCTAATTATGACTTTCTACCCTGTCTATATCTTGACCTCAGCTTGACCTCAGTGCCATCAAACTTGATCCTGCCCTCCTTGCTCCCCATGATTTTGGCCTCTGGGATGAATTAGGAATAGGGAAAAAAGATGGAGGAGGAGAGAAAGGGAAAGATTACAAAATTAGTTATAATTGGAGTCCCACAGAAGTAGAGAAGCTGAGCTAAAGCCACCATCTATATATAAGAAGGGAAACCCACTTCCTTACTTTGACCAGGATGGAACATGGATGAAGAGTCCTCTCATTTCCTTTGTCAGAAAGCATTGTCCTAAACTTGTATTTGAAGTTTTAACTAATCAGAATCTTAGAGTTGGAATGGACTTTAAAGGTCAGAAAATTATAGAGTCACATCTACTCTAACCCTTGCAAATGCAGAGGAGAGTGAGCTCAAAAGTCCAATTTCTGTCCTCTATAAAGGAAAATAGTGGAAGGAGTTTCATACTCTACTTTCCAGCCCTCCAATCAAACAAATAAATCAAGCAAGCCCTGATTTGTAGCATTTGCCAATTTCCAAAGTGTAAATACTCACATTGAAAACTTAACAATTGTCTCTCCCGCCAACTCCAGTACAACCCTGACTCCATGGTTGACTCATGTTCTTTTCTGGTCATGCAATTCTTTGATGATATTTTTTGAATCACTTTTGGTGTGTGACTTCACACCTACCATCCACGTGTCCATTGCTTGCTGCATTATGGGTGACTAATTCTTTTTAGACTGTGGTATTTTGCTTCACAGTCATATATTGTAGCATCTCTGGAAATTAAAAAAGTGGTAAAAAAAAATATTTATATATGGCCTTTGTTTCAGAGAGAAGTTTGTGGTTATTGAAAGTACCTCACAGTTGCTGAAATGCAATCCAGGCTAATTTCTTCCTCACTATTTGCTAGGCCTAGTTCATTGCCCATTCTTGGCATCTGTCCAAGATAAATGTGCTGATGAACCAATGTAAGAGTGGCTCTGTATAGATGATGTGGTCCTCCAGGGGTTCTTGTTTGTGGGTAGCATTGCCCTAATTGCAGTAATACCTGAAACTTTGCAAAGCCTCCTAAATAAAATCCACAATCACTTTAAATCTTTGGCCTCACTATTCACACAGAAAAATAGAAGTGAATGAAGAAGGCCTATGGTCTAGACTATGATTTGCAGTTAGATGGATAGTCCAAAGAACTGGCATGTTGATCCTGACACGTATTAATCAAATATGATTTCAATTGTTTCATAAATGAGATAAATGATATCAACGATAACTGTTGAAGAATATCTTGTTAAGTAGTGAGTTTCCTGCAGCGATGTGCTGGAGCCATCTCTAACCAGCTTGTGACAGCTGTCAATTAAATTTTCAGTAGGAGCATCCATTCCTTGAAGTTAGCAATAACTACAAATCAAGGTCGGATTTATTGTTTTATTGATTGTCAAGGCTTAGGAAGCATAAATAGTGCAGATTAAACTTTAAAACGTATGTACATACTTCCCCCCCAAGATAACCTGGTTGTTAAACATTCACTACCACAAGCTTGCATTGCTTTATATGCATTGCTTGAGCTCAGCAGGAGTGCAGAAGGTTCAGGGAATTAAGTCATCACCAGAGTGGAGGCTTGGTGTTGTAGACAAACAACAACAACAATAGTAATAGTGTTCATACAGAGTTTTAAGGTTTGCGAAGCACTTTACATTCATTATCTCATTTGGGGCTTACAACAGCCCTGGTTTCCTGTCACAGAAAATATTTAAATAGATCCTCAATGATCATTTCTTACTAATGACATACTTCAAGTTGAGATTTGAGTAGATGACTTCTACAAACTCTTCAACCTCTCAGATTCTCTCATTTAGAATCCTCAGGCTCGAATTCTCTGGTTTTGTTATAGGTTCCATTATAACCTAAGTATTTCCAATCCACCTTACATTGTTGGTTTTTGAAGGAATATTTCTTTAAAGCCACTTCCATCACACCAGTTTCCTGCTCAAGAGACTACAATGCTTATCTTTTCAAATCAAAAGTCTTCTTTCTAGGATACAGTCAGGTGTATTGAAGCACCTGTAAAATAAGGGAGTTGTATAGATATGGCCTTGTATCCCTTTCATTCCTATCTATAGTCTATGGTCTATTGTCATCAGTCTCAATACCAGAGAGTCAAGTTAACTGGCTTCAGTTTTGCCTCAGAAAGTGTGTGCCTTTCTGCCTTCCTGTCTTTTTGTGTTACATTCACAATCACAAAATCTCAGAGTTAGAAGAACCAATAGAATAACAACAGAATCAGATAATAAGAATATGGCAAATTCCATGCATACGTAAGTCCTGGAAAAGGTCACGTTAAGTGTTTGTGTCTCCCGGTTCATGAATGTGTCTATATATGTATATGTATGTATGTGTGTATGGCTGTTTGAGAATGTGTATGTATGTGTTTAATTGAAACTATCTTCCTAACAGTCAGAGGCTCAGTAGCAATACATTATGCTAGAGATGGCTACTGTGAGACTACGAACATCTTTTAAGTCAATGTAGAATATGTTTTTCAAAAGAGAAAAAAAAAGGTCCCTAATGTTTTTCGCTTGGCAGTTATATTATGGTAAGAAAGCCTGTTAGGGAAAGGGTGTAACTGAATTCCAGCATGCCATTGTTATTGTCAAGGAAAAGACTGAAGATACCATCCAAATGTGTCCTTGGAAGCTGTCCCTTTTTCCCAACTAATTGGAGTAAATTGCCAACTTGAGAGCAGACATATCCGTGGGGCCATTGGTACCCTACATGTATTTTGTTGGCATTTTTTGTTACTTAGGCTTTTAGAAGAGTAAGGTGAACAGGAATAGAGATTGATATGTTCAGAACTATAACGGACCTTAAAGCCCAGAATAGCAGAACATAGAATATAGGATGAGGATGCTATAGCTGGAAGGCATCTAACATAGACTGTTAAGGCATAGAATATAGGATATTAGAATTGGAAGAGATCTTAGAACATAGAATGCCAGAATATAGAATGTTAGAGCTAGAAAAGACTTCCAATAGATGTTAGTGCTGGGAGGGGTCTTAGAGTATAAGAATATAGAATGCCAAAACTGGAAGAGACCTTAGAGAATTTTAGAACATTGAATACAGAATTTTATAGAAAGAATGGCTCTCAGGAGAGAATGATCAGTAGAATGTTACAGCTAGGATGCCTTAGGAATAAAAAATGCCTGGATTGGACCATAGAACATAGAATTCTAGGGTGGGAGTGGGGGAGGAGGGGAGCTGAGATGTGCTGTTTGTAGGAATGTGTGATTTGTTTCTTGCTGGACTGAAACTGTTCCCTGAATTCCTGAATTCTGGCTAATCTAGTAATCCCAAAGAGCACTTAGCATAATGTATAGTGTATGGTAGGTGCTTAATAAATGTTTTTAATATATTTTTTATTTTGTCAAATATTTTCCAATTACATTTTAAAACATTTTTAGCATTTATTTTTTTTTAATTTTGAGTTCCAATTTCCCTCTCTTCCTCCTACCCCTTGAGAAGACGAACAATATAGTATCAACTATACTTGTGAAGTCATGCAAAAATGTTGCTAGAGAAAACACACACGTGCACACACACACACACACACACACACACACACACACATGAACAAGGAAAAATAAAGAAAGTAAAGAAAGTGTGCTTCAGTCTGCACTCAGAGTTCATCAGTTCTCCCTCTGGAGATGGGTAGCATTTTTCATAGTGAGTTCCTTGGTATTATCTTGGATCCTTGTCTTGATCAGAATAGCTAAGCTTTTCCCAGTTGATCATCATTATAATATTGCTGTAATGTGTACAATGTTCTCCTTCACTTTGCATCAGTTCATATAAGACTTCTCAGGTTTTTCTGAAATCATCCTACTCATCATTTCTTATAGCACAATAGTACTCCATCACAATCATATGCTACAACTTGTTCAGTCATTCCCTAGTTGATGGGTATCCCTTTCATTTCCAATTCTTTGCCACCATGAAAAGAGCTGCTATAAATATTTTTGTACAAATAGGTGCTTTTCTCTTTTCTTTGATCTCTTTGGGATATAGACCTAGTAATGGAATTTCTGGGTCAAAGGGTATGCACGGTTTCATAGCCCTTTAGGGGTAGGTCAATAAATGTTTACTGACTATTTGACAAAGGGCAAAGACTTGACCCAGATTTATGTTGGATTAGAATATAGAGAAAAGAACTGTTAAGGAGAGACTGAGGGATGTAACCAGGCAGAGGATGGAAAAATTTACCCCAAGTCAAGTGCTTATTTCTACAGACTTGTCTCCACCACAGCCCTCTGATCAATTATACATCCTGAAAGCTAATTCTTGACTGAGTGATGCTTCCTTCTTCTCTCCCATTGTCCTATATACTTAGAGCAAAGGCCCTGAAGAAGGAGAAAATACATTGATTTGGT